AGCGCACCCGTGCGCAGCGGGCTGGCCTACCCTGCAGGCGCCATCCCCTCTCGGAGCTGGATTACATCAGGATGTCCGGGGTGGCTGATTAACCCCGCTCACTTCTGTAGCTATGCTGTATCGCACGCACTCGTGCGGGCTGGTTGCCTTCTCGATCGGCTCGTAAGATGCCGTGGACGTGGGCGTGCGGTTACAGCATAACTACAGAAGTGAACGGGGTTAATCAGCCACTGATATTGATACGATGTTATTTAGAGCTTAACCCAATAAACCATTTACAAACTGAAACTGGAGCGGAGGAACTGATGCCGGGGACTGAAACTATGCAGGTATTCAGGTCAGGTTTGTGAGCCAACGCCACGCTCCGCCTTGCTCCACACCACCCTAAGATGGCTGCCAGCAGGCGCTCCAGGGCCAGGTGGTTAAGACTTTACCCTTACGTAAAGGGCAGCTGTTATGCAGGAGGAAGAGACGCTACCGCAAGTGAGAGCCTCAGAGCGTCCAGCCTCCACGTAGGGTTGTCTACCTTGCCAGCGTTTCGACGCGTGGCCGGTCCTGTATTCCTTTACAGCTGGATAGCACCGAAAGTTTATTTCTTGTATGTTACACGCAATCCTGCTCGTTGTGACAGAAACGAGTCACGATAACGACGTGGTATGCTGAGAATTATTGTGCCTTAATCAGACCTTGGTCCTCGTCATAGCGGATATGACGGATGCGGAGTTTGCTCTCCAGTAATAGTCATCGCCAAGCTTTAAGAGGAGAGAGACCTCAGATGAGCCTCCCAGGACGTGTACGCCGCTGCTTCTTATCCGGAGTGACTTTTACCCCTAGTGAGTTCCGTCAAGGAATCCCCGACCCGACCAACAGCTCACAAACAAGGGTACTGTGCGAACCATACTTCCGACCACCGGCGGCGCCTGAACGGTAGGCACCTCGACTGGCGCACCGCACCGGTGCACAGCGGGCTGGCCCTCGCTCCAGGCGCCGTGCCGCCGTCCCGGACCGAGGGCAAGGCTAGAGCGAGCGCTAGAGGGACGGACGGGGCGCTGATGGTGTTGGCGTTGAGTGACGAAGACAGCCCCCTCCCCCTTGGGTACCACCCAAAGCTGGTACTTTGCCACTTTGTTTTGGAAGCAGCTGGCCCCCTCGCCTCCCCTGCCCCCCGTCCCCGCCCGCTCCGCCCGTGCTGTACTCCGCGCACATCGTCCGACCAGCCCCCTACACCACACCCCGGCGGCGAACCCGCTGCCCGGGTGCTCAGTGAAAGTGGTAGGTCATCCTCGGCGGTGGCGGCTGGGTGGCGGCGGGGCGGGGAAGAGGGTTGGGGGCAGGCAGGGGAGGGAGAAGAGGCTCCCTCGCGGTCCGCGCAGCCGAGCAATGTAGCCTCAAAGCGGCCAGATCGAGAGCCAAGGGCGCTGTGTTACGGCGGGGCCCGCTTTCTCAGACCAGCAGACCCCCGCCCCCTTACGC